TATATTTTGTTGAAACTTTATGAAAACAATAATAATAATTCTACACTACATATATACTTTTGACTAGAAAAAAGGTTGACAGTAACCATTAACCAGATTTCCCTTAGGCAGAGTTAAGTGTTCACTAAAATATAAAGCCAATTATAGAAACAAAGTCTAGTCTAAACCACAGCTTAGATCTAGATTTTGTTTCTGTAATCAACCCACAGGGTTTGTAATAAAATATCAAAAACTCTTATTTTCAACTATTAGTGATATTAACCAATAGTTGAAAATAAACAGGATTGATGCTAATGAGAATCACTGTAAAAATTATGTTTTTGTAATATAAAAATAATGAAGAAATCACAAACTCCAGTAGACAAATGACTAGCATTATTTGCATAGCGGACTAAACAAAGGATATATAAAAATGTATAATGTACTGTACAGTACAGTACATAATGAATTTAATATTTTCCTATTTGCATCCTATTATTATGATAAGAAACTGCAGAGACAAGTGTTTTTTTTAGTGAAGCACAAGAATATTTGAAAACAAGAAAACAATAGAGTAGACTAGAGAACTAGACCAGTGTTTCTCAACCTCTAACGAATCGTCGCCCCCTTCAACGTAGTATCGCCCCCTTCAATAAAACTGTTACGTAGTATCACCCCCTTTACTTCAAAATTCCGATGCCGTGGGCCAGGGCTAACGTCAAATTCGTACTGCATTGAATAGACTGATGACTAGTATAATGTTATTTGTTTAATTATTGTACGATATAACGAATAAAATATTTAATTAATCTTAATATAATGTTTTACTATATCGCCCAGAAAATTGTTTTTCGCCCCCCCAAAATATAAATTGTTATAAATTGCCCCCTCAACATGGAAAAACGCCCACATGGGGGCAATATCGCCCCCGTTGAGAAACACTGAACTAGACTAAACAAAGATCAATAATGCTAGCCTAGTTTTTAGTGCTCTTGCTTTTACAATATTTTAAGAAAGATTTACTTTAAATATTATCTTTGAGATTATTTTTTAAAATTCAAATTTTAAAAAATTAACAAAGAGAATCCTTAAATTTTATTCTATTTAATATCTATAAATGTCAATTATTTATATTTTGTTTGCATGCAATCTTATAAGCAAATAAAAATAAAATCAATAAATTATTGCAGAATCACAAAATATTCACACACAAAAAACTTGTTGTTCTAAGCATAGCTTTTCTCAAAATCTTATATATTCAAAATAATTAAAATATTAATCATTTACTTTAATACAAATGAATTAACTAAATGTAATAGAAATGATTTTCATAAATCTTTCAACTTAATGAAAAATTATACTAAATAGTAATTGATAAATTACTTTAAAAAATTAAATTCACATTAAGTAAAACTATAAAATAATTTGTTTAGATAACACAACTGTGTTACTTATAAATATTTCAATAAATAAAACAAATATTCTGGAAATATTTATGTACAAACTATAACTTTACTAATTTTTCATAATTATTTCATGTAACATACATCTATAGCTGAATTTACAATTTTTATATAAATTTTAACCTGACAAAAATTCTATTAATTTAACTATATTGTTCTGCAGAACAAAATAACCAGCCAGTTATTATGATATAGTAGTTTAAGTGTAATTTATTACAAATCTTTATAAAGTGTCCTATACATTGGCTAATTTCTTTTTAGTAATAAGAGAATGAAAAGAAATCATGATCATCTAATACAGGAAGAAAGTCTTCCAGAACTGATAAAAATGAATCTCCTAAATCAGAATATGGATTTTAATTTGAAAGACATGTCTGCTTCTGCTCAGTATCATATCAATGAAATGGATCAAAAAAATCTGTAAAAAGTCAATGTGCAGATGCTCAAAAAGTTGAAAATGGGGCAAATTGAGAAGAAATCTTTTTTAATATATTTTTAAAGTTTGACTCTAATTATATCTTATAGATTTGATTAAAAATTTATGCAAACCATATAAAGTGGAAACTCGACTATCTTGAATGGGACCAGGGGAAATTTTAGAAAATCCAGAAATTTGTTTGTTTTTGTATTTTGTGTACAAGCATGATGCATTGCACATTTAAAGTTTTATGGATAATAAAACAAGTACTACAATGCAATTACTGTTATAAAATTACTACTATTATGCAATTACTACAATTAATTAGTTTATTCAAAATCCAACGTGTCACTACAATCGACAGACAACTTACAACTTGTTAGTGATTTTCAGTTACAAGGAAAGTTTGGTCTTTGTGTATCATACTTTGTGATATGTACTGTACAACCAGCCTGTGTACAACGCTATACCAATGTATAGCATTGTTTTTTAACTGTCAGATAATTCAAAGTTTTGGATAATCGAATTTCCACTGTATAATGAATAATACTTACAAGTTACATTTAAAAATATCAACACTGTCTTGTGCTGTCTTATGTCATCAAATCATTCTTCTTTACGACTAAATAAATAAGTAATAATAATAAATAAAAATGGAGAAATCATTCAAAAGAGTGAAAAGAGTAACAAATATTAGGCTCAAAATAGAATAGATTTATATAGAGAGGATAGTAAGGATAGAAAATGAACAGAGCCAATAAAAGTATGATAAATAGGATACTTGGAGAAAACTAACGATATTAAAATTCAAGAGAGACATCAAAATCAGTTAATTAAAACACTACATTATAGGCCTATACAGTATATAATCAGGATGAATTAAAACAAACTGAAGGAAACTATCACAATAGTATGAACCAATCATAAAGAGAAAACAGACACAAAGTTACAAATCCACAGCCAGATGATGACAAAAAAGAATCAGGTGTTAGAAGTACTGTACTGTATGTACAGTACATTGGATATGCCCTTATTCCGAGAATAAGTCATTGCTAGTCACCTCAATTAAATTTTTTATAATGTCGAAAATACTTGTCTCTGTAATATTTAAGGCAACACTAACCAAATAACTTGTTGAATTTGTGAACTTTTGTTATCAGCAAAAAATTACAGGATTTTCTTGCTTTCTAAAGAGTATCTGTTATTAATTTTAATCTTTTTTATTGGATTGTTTCTTAATACTGTATTAATATTATTGTAACCTTGAATAATTGGAGGAAAATTGTGATGTCTGGAAATTGTAATTGAGGATGTCGATACTACTGATAGAAAAAATAAATGAACAGCCTATGGGGCTGTCCATAAATGACGTCCACACTGAAAGGGGGGACGGGGTTACAAGTCGGACAAGATGGGAAGGGTTGAGCTTCAGTGGATGTCCGTTTATTTTATTAAATTTTATTCCAGTTTATAGTCTGAAGAGGGGGGTTACGGAAACTTGGAAAAACTGGGACCAGAGCGGGAGGAGGAGTAAAAATTTCAAGCAAAATATGGATGTAATTTATGGACAGCCCCTATGTAAATGTATTAAAGATTTTAAAAAATCATTTGTATTTGATATATTACGAAAGTCTGGTTCAATAATTACAGGACTTTATATTTTTTCTTCTGCAACAGTCTATCTAATTTTCTCAATTACATTTCGAAACACTCAGTATATCAATCATCATTGGTGTAAACCAGTGATGACTAAAATAAACAAATGGAATAAGATAAAATCAATGTTCATTTATAAATAGAACTTTATCTACGGTTCTCATTTTTTTTATTTTACATTCAGTAATTACATTTTCTTTTAATCCACTTTATAACATTTATACAGTAGTGAAAATTGGGAAACAAAAGAGCATTCTTTTTAAATTCAAAAATATATATAGTATACAAAAATAAAAATAGCTAATTCAAAAAGTAACAACACATATATATCCTCATTTTCATTCTAAAGAATCTGTTTAATAATTTTGATATAAACGTTAAAAATATGTAACTCCGTATTATTTCAGTATTCCCTGTGGATAGAACATTGGCACAGCGAGATGAACTCATCTTAATTAAATCTTTTTCATTTTAAATTAATTTACTTGACCAATTTCGTAAATTAATTTTTCAACCGTAATTGTTTAACAATGTGTCTACAAAGATTAAATCATTTATTTAGATGTCAATATAGATTTCCAGATTATAATTTTAGTATTGTATATAAAAATTAATATTCAACTAAATGTAATAGTTAATTTTTTATATATTCTTTAATTCAAAAAATAAATAAATACATTTGTTTGAAAAGATAAGTCAGTTAAACAAGAATAAAAATGGCAGGCCAAGTTGTTAAGATTTCAAAATAAATATGCCACACAGTTTAAAAATTAATGTTTCTTCTTTTTATTTTTAATCAAAAATACATATTCACAAACATGTTAATATTATAATAAATTGATCAAAAGAGTTGCCTTTTTCAATACTCTTTTGAATGAATTTTAGGATATAGGCCTGTCTCTTTTTCTTGAAGTAAATAGTGTCCCAATATTTGCTGATTAACATAACATATCTCAGAAGTATGAGCTCTATTCTGAGCACAGTAACGTCTCCAGTTAACAAATATCGCGTCTTGGTTAAAACTTCAGTTACAAAATCATCTCACCTTTATGCAGAGATATTATCCTAACTGAAGACATTTTAATTAACATAAAAAGCAATTTAAAAACAGTGCTAATTCATTTTTATTGCTGCTATATTTTACACGCAATGCATTTCGGAATGAGTAACCCGTCTTCAGTGCAATGCATGTTAAATGGAAAGCAATAAACTAATTAACAAATTTAAATTAACTTAAAACATAATTTGTTTTTGTGATATATATAATTTTTTCCAATGTCCGCATGCATTATTAGTGAATGAAAGTTATTTCATAATAAATTATTAATTACAAATATGCAGAAAGTAACAATAAATCCATTTAAACGATCATTTTCCACTGGGATATATTATAATCTCGCAGACCGGTACATTTACAAATACTCTATTCGTTTACCTTAACCTAAACAAATATTGACATCAATTAGAACGATCAAAGATTTTACCTTTCTATCTTTTGCATAGTAAAGTTTCCGTGGTTTTAAACGGAAATAACGTTTTTTCCATCTCTATAAATTAAACAACGAAAAATGTTGTAATTAAGCAATTAAAACGTTTAAATTATTATTATAAAAACATTAAAATGATAAGTTTACCTGAAAAGAACTAGTTTGTTTCATAAGAAAATCTTCTTTAATGCATACCTAAAATAAAACAGTATCAATGAAAAGTTAGTAAAAGATAATAATTCAATATATATTCATATATTAATTTTTAAAAGTATGAAGGTCTATTCGATTTAATTTTGTTCACTTTAATACAGTTTACAATACATATAAATATGTAGCTACAGTACTTTAAAATATCTATATTTTAAAGTGCAATTTACGTGCGTTTAAAGTTTAAAAAAAAATACTTATTGAAATACACCCAATACAACCAATTCTGTTTCTATGTGGCATACACATTTCCGAAAACCATGTAAAAAAATGTAAAAAAGACACAGTCCATATGGAAAAATAGAAGATTGATTCCAGACCTTATAAACCAATAAAAAAATCCAGCAACGAGTTGCTTAACTTTCCGGACAACAGTGTGTGTGTGTGTGTAGTGCCATCCAGAGCCGTAACTAGGCAGGTGCAACAGGTGCACCCGCACAGGGCCCTCTTGAAAAGGGGGCCCAAACTGCTGTTCACAAAAAATTATATTTTCAAATTTTAAATTTTTCCGCCTTTCTACAGCGCGGTTTGGTGATTACATTTCGCCTTACTTAGATCTAGATGTCTGCTCACCAGTGTTCCCAACCGTGGCGACTTTTAGAGGGACGTAGTGAGATAGCGGAAACCGCAGACAAATCAGCCAAAAGTAGCGACTTTTGAGATTTTTTAATTTATTTTTTAAGAAATTTAAATTTATGTTTATAGTTTTCAAATTTACAGATTTTTCTCTACTTTATAGAGCTTTCTGGCAACTACTAATATTACGATATACAAAACTGTATTTCTAGATTTTTCTACAGTGTGCAGAGCTAGAAATCTGTAAAGGTAACATTTTGTAACAAAAATAAATCT